CTCTCTCTCTCTCTCTCTCTCTCTCTCTCTCTCTCTCTCTCTCTCTCTCTCTCTCTCTCTCTCTCTCTCTCTCTCTCTCTCTCTCTCTCTCTCTCTCTCTCTCTCTCTCTCTCTCTCTCTCTCTCTCTCTCTCTTTCTCAGCGACTCAGAACACCGATATCCCATCCATTCGTCTGTCCGTTCCTTTCCTTTGTCTCATACCTTTGTTAGCGCGAAGTTTAGCTCGACATGTGTGCTACTTGTGCATACTTGTGTACTTGTACGTACGAATGAATGAAAGCGGGAGGATCGATCGCTAAAGAGAGAGTGAGAGAGAAGGAAAGAAAGAGATGCAGAGAAAATTGGACAGCGTCGGACAACTCATGAGGACAATCCGATTTCCGTTTCGGCTTCGTGAAATCCGGAGGAATTTCGTATCACATTCGAGCAACAATAGTCAGACAAACGTTAGATGAGACGACGGCGGTATTTCTCCCTAAATGTCATCAACTATTTTTATCGGTATGATGGTGGCAATGATACGATTCGAGCGAAAATTTGACAAATCACTTAGGTGACAATAACCATGATATACGTGAAAAATATATATATATATATACATATATTATATTATATTAGATATGATAACTTATAATTAAATGAAATAAAATATACAACATGTATAAAGAAAAAAATAAAATAAGAATAATAATAAAATATTCTAAAAGCGTTTCAAACAATTTGACAACTTTAAAAAATTATTGTTATTTTTTAAATACTTTTTAATTTCAACGATAAAAAATAAAGTCACAATTTAATGTCATTTATCACAATAAATCTTATACGAGCGGGCTTAGTATTTTTTTTTTTATAAAAATCATGATTTACGATTTAAATGCCATTCCTTTATTAACTCGTAACACAATTTTCCATGGTTCAATTATAGAAATGTATAAATTATTTTACTGCATAGCTTTGATAAAATAAATGTATATCGTTATTTATATGATATAAATCCGATTGAAAATAGGTGTCGATTACAGCATACTATTGACTACTACAAGATAATGTCAGCTGACATAACGAGCTGCGGGTCGCTGCGGGATCGTTATTTTCCACGTGCTTTTGATAAAAATATCATCCAGCGCTCGACTGAACTGCCATGATGCATTGGCGCAAGCTTTTGCATGCTTTTGTAAAAATAAGTCATTTTACAACGAAAAATGGGGAAGCTGTGCGTTCATTCGCCGCGTGCGTTCATTCTCCTTTAGCTGTGCGTTCATTCGCCGCGTGAGTTTTTGACGAACGAATAACTGGCACGACAAACGTGGTACAGGTGTACCGATTTGACCATCGAATAGCTGAGGTAGATTCTATTAATAAAACGTTTAAACGTTCGACATACGATAAACGATGGCTGCCAAATCGTTTTGCGCAATACTTAGATGCAATATTTCCGCATTGAAAATGATTCGCGAGAAAATTTCGCGATGCAATTAAATTCCCTATCTTTTGATAGTCGTTTGATGCTGCTCTAATATACATAGCCAAGTGTTTGTCCGCAACCCTGTTGCTTTTGAATCGTTACGTTCATTGATCCAAGATGTGTAAAGGCAACTTGAAGGCGTCCGTTAGACTTTGATGTTGTTAAATAATTTTAAAATAAATTGGGTAGAAAACTCTTTATCATGTTTTGAAAAGAGAATATCTATATCAGTGAATATTACAACATTTATTAAATTTGTAATAAAATGTCCACTCTTGATATATAAAACAATATTAGTTTTTAATTTTTAAAATTCTGCTGTCATATAAATTTTTTATATTTTTATGAAATGCAGCATCCGAAATTATCACATACATCAAATGCAGAACTGTACTTCAGAGAGAGAATATTTTAGAGATTCAAGAATGACATTGCAAAATGATAAAGTAGATCTTAATATAAAATCATACAGTTTCTATAATCATACTGTTTCTATAATCATACAGTTTCTATAATCATAC